AAGAAAGAGAAGAGAAAAACTGATAGGTCAGGTTCACGGAACGAAGCAGGATCCTCGAGGAAACTCGACTCTCGCATTGGCTATTCAGCGGCGACGGCCATACGGCGCATTTATGCGCACTTTTTGTAGGCGGCACGTTTAGCTAAACAGTTGTAAAAGATCGCTATCGTCGATAGGCGAAGGGTTAATCACCGAGCCAGAAAACTGGCGCAGCCTGCCTGTCGCTCCGGCGGCGTTCGCGTGCCAATCGAGACAAAGGAGCGGTGGAGATACGGAGTAAAACGGCAAGGAAAAAAGACGCCGGATAACCTTCCCCGGCGTTGAACGGTCCCCTTGAGAATATATATCGCAAACCTGTAATCAGGTTGTTAATAATCGTTTTATTTTATCTAAACTTCTCCATCGAGATTCCGCAGTTGACCATTTCTCTGAATTTGCATAAACGCGTAATTAAAATCAAGGCTCTCCCACCTATCCCGCCACACGTCTTGACACACGCACAACAAATAATTCGCCGTACACCAGTTGCATAAAATAAACATGTTATTTACCGCAAATTTCACGCGCGTTGAGCATTGCGTTTGACGTACCCCGCGTGAAACAGTTCGCCGCATTTTCGACGGGAATAACGGCGTGGTCGTAACGCGCCCTTTGCGATCATTAATTATTAATTTTCAGTAATCATTAATTTGCTTAACAAAACGCAATTCTATTATTATTTGCGCAAAATTTAAAATGGGATGTTTATGTAAGGGACGTCACTTTATTCCGAATTGTTCGCCCCGTGATGATTGCCAATATATCCCCCTCGTGATGACTCGCCATTAATGCTAAGAGCGCGGATCTTCCGAAGCATCCTGTGCAGCAAGATTGCACAGAAGGGCAATGATTGACAGCTTGTTGGTTTTAAGCCCGATCTATTCGAGAATCAAATAGTTTTAGACCGCAGAAAAAATAGCGTCAGTTCAGCCATTCGGTTTAGCGGGCCAGGCGAATCTCACCCCCGACATTGATCCCGCCGTTCTACGATCTCCTATCTGTCGCGAACAAAGCGTGACGGAAACAAAGGATCTACAATGCAGATAAGCACTCTTGCGCGGCGTTACAACGCTTAGATATTTAACCGATCTCTAACACAGCGTCCCGGTACCGTTAGATTATCGATTCAGAGCACTCGCCGACCCGGAAATTAATTCGGCCGCCGTAAAAGGAAAGTGAGATACATAAGTTTCGCAAGAAAGATTAATAGGTTTTCTGCTATCTGTAATTAGCCATTGGGGAAATTGGGGAAAATGCAAACTCAAAATCGTGTCATAATGTAAGACAGACGAGAGAGACGAGAGACAGAGGGAGGAAGGTTCGCGATATCCGTCGTGATCGATATTAAAAATTGTTTACCATTCTATTATCGCGTTCTATCCCGCGTGTGTAAAATTCACGATCATATATTACATATTACTTCGCGTCATAAATAAGGGGGAAGGAGGGGGGGGGGGGAGCGCCCGTAAAACGTCGCGACTTTCTCGACGACGCCGAGGAATCTTACGATTTCTCGGCGAGATTTACAGATCGTTCCGCGAGGCGCGGTCAAAGATTAATAGGTCGGCTAGGTAAACATGTAAAATGCCCGCGCATTATGCCGTACGAAGAAGCGGCATAAACACGAAATGACAAATATTTCCGCGGCCGTGCCCGCGCGCGGAAAATGGCGAGCGTCGTCGGACGGGCGCGCTATTAGAAAGTTGAATGAATTAAGCACGCCCGGTGCTTACGATCGCGACTGCCCACGTGTTCACGCTCACATTAGGAATCGAGCGGACGACTCACGTGAGTGCGGTCGGCGATCACGATTCTCGCACGGAAGTGTTCTCGTAGCGTTTCTCGACAATACTGGACTTACCTGAAACAAAAATAAAAGGACAGAAATTAATCGGTGACGACCGCGATATCATTTTAACCTGTGATTTAATTTCTTCGTCTTGTATTAATATCGACATAATGCGAATTGCGAGAGAAAAATCATCATCTGTCGCTCGGAAAGAAATATTTTTGCCTTCGTATACCACGGGAATATAAGTTACAATATAAGAATGGAGAGATTACGCGGAACTAATTATCTACGGAAGGTGTTGATTATTCACGACGCTGCTTCCGGCGGCCGGAAACGACAACGCAAAGCTATTTACGAAGACCACTCGGCAAATTGATGCGTTAGTCTCTGGAGAATGGACTTCGCTGCGAACATCAGAGATTTCTTCGTGAACTAACAAAGAGGAGAGAAACGGAATGCATCGCCCTTCCTTCGTCAAGGCTACGTGACTCAATCGTACATATAACGATGCAACATTCATCCAAGTAAAGACTTTTTTAAACTTCTAAAAAAAATATTTAACATCGTTCATATCTCTTTAAAGTTGATAGCAATTATAAAATATAATGTAATTAAAAAAGTTTCTTTTCAGTAAAAAAAATTGTAAAATGTAATAGGAAATTGTATAATCATTATTAAATTGCATATCGATAAATTAAAAGTATTTTTAATTGGAACAGCATCGTCGTGATCTTATTCTCTCCAAATATCTGAATTATTTTATTGTAAATAATAATAAATCTATAATATTTAAATTTTATTATAAATCGTTCCAAAGTCGATGTGACGTTGTTTAGAAAGTGATCGGTATAAATGAGCCTTAACTCTGCCGCATCGACAGCGAGTCTTTTTCCGAAAGAGGACAACGCGACAGACCATTTTCGTCTTCTTGAGAGCCGACCCCTTTATGGCATTCACGGGGAAAAAGAGCGCGAGCATCTTTCGTACTTTGAAAGATTCATTAGGCACACGGCGAGCAACTTCTGCCGAGAGGTGGAATCGTCGAGAATCCGAACTTGGAAGAGAGCCGAGAACGTAACTTTTTATATCGTTGCTTTAGAAACGAGAACAATCAATGTCATTCCCGTGTAGCAGAAAGGAGAAAACGTTCTTCTCTCTTCGCGACACGTATAGAAGCATGTATTAAACCTTCGTCCCGTTAAAATGGAAACGCGTCCATCGATCCTTCTCCGGGGGAGGACATCGCTCGTTTCCCATGGCTAATGTAAATTTTGTAAGGCCAACTCGCCCGTATGTATCTTCCTTGGACCTTCCTAGTTACCTACAGCGGCTTCTGTATATTTTACTGTGTCACTATGTAAGCATATGTACAGATCTGACGAAAAGCTTGAAACATCTTTGAAGTGTACCGCGGATGCACACACGCGCGCGCGCGCTCATTTTATATAGCATCGCATCAATTTCGATGGTTTTTAAAATTTTCACGAGAAAAATTTCATCTGACCGATTTCGTAGAATCGCCGTCGTCCATCGTGAGTTAAGACGCGTTCGCGATGGACTTCCGCGACGTGACACTTTAAAGTGACGGCCGGAAGTCTCCCAGCAACGGATGACGCAAAAAGTCTCGCCGCTTGACTTCGATA